CTGCTTGAGCTGGCTATAACCAATATGGAAACACCTAAGCGAGTATTTCCCAAAATCTGGACCACCTGTAGCAGTTTTGCCTACAACAATGTGGTTGCCAAACCAGCAGCATCAGCATTACCTGGAAACTGGGTAGAGCTGCAAATTCACATGCCTCACCCAAAACTACTAAATAAGAATCTCTAGGCTGGGCGCGGTGGCTCAAGCTTGTTAATCTCAGCACTTTGGGAAGCTGAGGTGAGGGGATTGCTGAGTCCACAGGTTCGAGAACAGCCTGGGTAACTTGATGAGACCTCATTTCTACAATAAAATAAAATAAAAATTAGCCAGGCATGGCAGCACATGCCTGGGGTTCTGGCTACCTGGAAAACTGAGGTGGAAGAATCACCTGAGTCCAGCAGGTCGACACTAGGGTGACCGTGAGTATCCCACTGCACTCCAGCCTAGGTGACCGATTGAGACTCCAAGTCAAAGAATAAATAAAAAAGGAATCTCTAGAATTGGGGACCAGAAATGTGTGTTTAACCATACTCTTCTGTAAATGTGAATTCAGAGTTTCTTTTTTTGTTTGATTGTTTGCCTTTATATTGCTGAGTTTCAGGGTTATTTATAATGGGCATGCCCTCTCCAAAAGTATACACATTTTAAGAGATGTTATCTATGTATTATTTTTAGAAGTTGAATTGAATCACAGTAGCTATGTGTAGTATAAAGTTCGCTGAAAAGGTGGCCTTGATCAAATGAATGCTGGAGTCACCATGCGACAGGCAGGACAGTCAAAGAAAATGGCAGAAGCATGGTTGTTCAAAAAGCACAAGACCATTTTGAAGTGGTATGTGAAGTTCGAAAATGTTGTGGAAGCACAACAATAATGGAGGCATGAGTATGCAATGGAACCTCCAATATGCCTAACAACTGCACTCATTTGTGATAAGTTTGAGATGCATGGTACCGTGCATGATGTGCACAAGGAAAGATCCGGGAGGCCTCGCACAGCAACAAGTCCTGCAGTAGTTTGCCATAATCAAAGTATCTGGACACTGCTGGTAATCACTTTGAGCACCTCTTGTAATTGCAGAAGTCAAAGGTGACTTGTTTTCCTCTTTTGATATCAGTATATATTATTACAATTTTAATACAATTTTTTTTTCCTTTCTTAAAATGTTTATACATTTTTTTGGCACCCTCTGTATATTCTGGATACAGTCTTTTTTTCAAATATGTGAGTTGATCAAAGTCTCTGGATTGTGTTTTCATTTTATTAATGCTGACTTTCACAGAACAAAAGTTTTAAATTTTCACAGAATTCAGTTTATCAATTTTTTCTTTATAGATTGTGTTTTTGATATCATACCCAAAGACTCATTTCCAAACACAAGGTCACATATATTTCCCCTTTGTTTTCTTCTTAAAGTTTTCTAACTTTATATTTTACACTTAGGTCTATCATTCATTTAGAATTAATTTTTGTATATGATCTACATAAAGATTAATTATTTCTACGTATGGATAGACAATTGTTTCAATATCATTTGCTGAAAAGACTTTCCTTTCTCCTTTGATTGCCTTTTCATCTTTGCCAACAATCAGTTGACTCTTTGTGTTGGTCTATTTCCTGACCTCTATTTTGTTCCCTTGATCTAAGTGTTTATACATCTTACCAATACTATACTGTGTTAATTCCTGTAACTTGAGAGTAAGTCTTAAACTTTGGTAGTATGAATCTCCAAATTTTGTCTTTTACAGAATTTTTTTTTTTTGCTCTTCTATTTTCTTAATCTTTCCATGTAAGTGTTAGAATCATAAATCCTAAATTTGAATTCTAAATTTGAATTCTAAATTATGAATTTAAAAAAAAAAAAACTTACTGAGATTTAGAACCTACAGATAAAATGGGAAGAATTTATTTAGATTCATTTTTAATGTTTTAACATTTTCAATATGCACACCCTGTATATATTTCATTACCTAAGCACTACATATTTTTTTGGGAAACTATTAATTACATTTTTTTAAATTTAAAATTTCAATAGTCCCTTTTGATTGCTGACTTTTTAATGTTGAGTTCATATCCTGCAGCCTTGCTGAAGTCACTTATCCTAGGAGGTTTTTGGTAGTTGGGGGGGAGGTGATTTCTTCGTAGACCTAGTCATGCCATTGGCAAATAGTGTTGATTTTATTTTTTCCTTTGAGAGCTGTATGCATTTTGTTTCTTTTTCTTTTCTCATTTTGACTAGATTTTTCAGTACAACATTGATTTATTGCACAACCTTGCCTTATTGTAGTTTCTTACTATTAAGAGTAGTAATAGTAGTAATAATTAATAAGTATTAAGAGTAATGCTAACTGCAAGCTTTCTGTAGATGCCTATTATTTGGCTAAAGATGGTCTCTTTTAATTCTACTTAATCATGTTTATTATTTTGATCGAGCATATATATAAAATTTTGTTAAGTGCTTTTTCTGCATATATTGAGGTGATCATTTTTTAAAATGTAGTCTGGCAATATATGAATTATAATTGATTTTCAAATAATGAATCAGCCTTGGATTCCTTGAGTGAAACCCACTTGATCAAGATGCATTTTCATTTCTTTATACTGCTAGATTTGTTTTGTCAATACATTTTTATGAATTTTTGCAAGTATGTCCACTAGTAATATTGATCAGTATTTTTTTGTAATATTTTGGTCAGGTTTGGGCAGTAGGCAATACTAACCTCATGAAATGAGTTATGTTGTCTTCTATTTTCTAAAAGAGATTATGTAGATTATGTTTTATGTCTTCCTTTCCTGCTTGCCAGAATTCATCAGTGAAACCATGACCCTTACTCTTTCATTTTTGACACTGTTTAAAATATTAATTTGATATTTTTAATTTATATAAGACTGTTAAGATGAGATCAACAATGTCAGCTCTTGTTCACTTCTGAATAGGGTCATTTGCTATTTCTCCCTTTTTTTTCTCAGTCTGCATTCCAGTTTTATCAATTTAATTTTTCAATTTTATTTATTTTTGCCAAAAAAAAAAAAAAAGCAACTTTTTTTTTCAATAGATAGAGTTGGGCAACCTGTTCAGGTCCCCTTCCACTGTGGGAGTTTTCTGTCCTCTCAATAAATCCTGCTTTCTCTTAAAAAAAAAAAAAAGAGAGGGGGGTGGGGAGTCTTGCTATGTTGCCCAGGCTGCTGTAGAACTCCTAGACTCAATTGATCTCTAATCTCAGCATCCTGAATAGCTGGGATCACAGGTACATACCACTGTGCCCACTAAAAAAGCAGTTTTTGATTTTATTGTTTTCCTCTACCATTTTTTCTGTTTTCATATTAACTGATCTTTGCTTCAACTTTTATTATGTCCCTTCTGCTTTGGGGGGTATTTATTCAGCTGCTTTACTTCTTAAAGTGGATGTTTAGGTCACTAATTTTAGATGTTTCTTTTATAAGCATATAATTCTATGATTTCCATCTAAACATTGCTTTAGCTGTAACCTATAAATTTTGATATGCTGTAGTTTAATTTCTATTTAGTTCACAATATTTTAAAATTTATCATGATACTTCATCCTTAGCCCACAGGTAATTTAGTAGTGTATTGTTTACTTTCTAAGTATTTGGAGATTTGCCTGTTATCTTTGTTATTGATTTCTATTTTGATTTTGTTATAGTCTGATGACATGCTTTGTATTATTTCTGTGCTTTTAAATTGGTTATTTTTTTTCATGGTCCAAAATGTTGTCTTTCATAATGCTTTATTTGCACTTGAAAAGAGTACATGCTCTTTTGTTGTGTGGAGTGCCAGTTAGGTCAAGTTGGTTCACAGTGTTGTTGGACATGTATAGTTTGAAGAAGGAGCACAAATGATTTCAAGCACACTGAAGGTTGAGAGCCACTTATACAGAGCTAAGACTAATTGGAATTACAGTGTAATAGAGGACCAATTTTGGATTAGAGTTGATATTTTTCTGTTTGCGGAAACCTAGTAGCATCCACCCAGTTGTCTATGTTCTAGCTGTAAGCTTGTTGCTTACAGGTAACTCCCAAACACATTACAAGTAGAGCAAGGTTTGACATTTGTCTGTGGCCCTGGGCCTTCAGCCCGTGGGATGGACTGTAGGGTCTTTCCTACAATATCCTCTCTATACTTTTCACCTATACAATCTTTTTTAAAGTGTGTTTTGTAAAAACAATACTAGGGCCAGGTGCAACTACTAAAAAAGAAACAGGGAAATAAGAAGTATACCCATTGCTTTGTAAACTACTGTGTATTTTCCCAAGTGAAAATCATAATGCTAACTAATATCATAATGACTCTGAAGAGTCTGGAAAAGGAAAATCTTTTGATGTGTTTAATCCTCCTTTTTCCTAACATAAAATGAGTAATACTAAGTACTTTATAATGTTTAAAAGGGTATTAAGACATATAACAATAATGGCATGGACACGTAGTATGTGATTGATAAGAGTTTGCTATATGATTTACAATAGTTGGTGTTCTTATTTTTTTTATGTTTTATTCCACTGGAACAGAGATTTAAAAGTTAGATGAATATGAAAGGAAAAAAAAAAAAACCAACCTAGGAATGCAAACACCAAAAAAGTCCTAGAGATAAACATGAGCTTTACCTGATCCCGTTTTTTATTGTAGTGTTAATATAGTATATTGCATTCATTTTAAAGACCTTCTTCAACCCACCTGCTTTAACTGCCAACCTAAACCTAACTTCTAAGAATGAATATCATTGGCATTTCTGGACATAATTAGACATAAGTGCATTATAAAAAGAAAGATTTGTGCAATGTTGTGTAAAGTACATTAAGTATGAACATCAGCTCAGAACTCAGCATGATGTCGTCGTATACCTTCCACACTCAGCAGCAGCATCACGAAAGTGCTGTGCACTCAAAATTCAAAATTCCTTTCTCCACAACTACCTGCCCTGGTTCCTTTGATATTTTTGTAAGAACATTATTGACAGACACTCTGCTTTCTTTTCTTAAACAGGTGGGCTCTGCATTGCCCAGTCCGTGAGAATCCCCCAAGAGCGCAAAGACAGGACCATTGACTTTGATAGAATTATCAAACAGCTCCTGGACACCCCCAACTCCAGGGCCGTCGTGATTTTTGCCAACGATGAGGATATAAAGTAAGGATGACTGGTGAAATTTGTTTATATGCATGTTGCAACTTTGGGAGGTGGTAAGATCAGGTTGCTGGCAAAAAAGGGACAAAGATAGCATAGGACCAAAGCTATAGTTATATAGTGATAAAGTCTGCTTGCCTTCTAACCCAGGTAGGGTTAGAGTAGGTATAATGAACCATGGAGGTAGTGGCAAGTTGCTGTCACGTATTTTTCCTCTATTAACAAAATAAATGCATTTGATTATTTGTTAAAACAAAAGAAAGAGGAAAACATGAGACCATTAAAAGTTCCTTTTATTAAAAACATTCAAATATAACAAACTTGTATTCAAGGAATGGTTCTTAATGTAATACAAAAACGTCTTATGATTATGGTTTTATTGCTAGTGCTTTAAACTCAATGTGTTCAAAACAAACCTTATCGTATCTCTACATTCTCCAATCCACTTTTGCCTTTTTATTTTTATTTTTTAATGTAATCCCTCTTGGACTCAAAAATCTCCTTATAATCTTGACTTTTATTTCTTCCTAGTTCTTTGCAATCTTGACTAAGCCATGTAGAGTCAACCTTTGACATCTTCTTAGAACATAAATGTCCTCTACCTTCTTTTCTGACCACTACCAACCTGGTCCAGAATCTTTAATTTTATTGTTTTAGAATAAACAGTAATTATTCCTAATTAAAAAATAAATAGCTGGGCTCGGTGGTTCAGCCTGTAATTCCAGCACTTTAGGAGGCCAAGGCAAGTAAGTTGCCTGAGCCTGTGGATTCGAGACCAGCCCGAGCAGCTTAGCAAGAGCTCATATCTACAGTAAATCAAAATATTAGCCAGGTGAGGTAACGCACGTCTGTAGTTCCAGCTATTCGGAAGACTGAGGCAGAAGGATCGTGGAGTCCAGCAGGTTGACACTGGGGTGGCCGTGAGTGTGCCACTGTACTCTAGCCTGGGTGCCAGAGTGAGACTCTGATTCTAAATAAATAAATAAATAAAAGCTGAGTATGATGGCTCATATCTGAAATTCTAGCACTTTGGGAGGCCAAGGTAGAAGGATAGCCTAAATAAATAAATAAATTTTTATATATTTATTTATTTATATATATCAGGTGTGGTGTTACACACCTATATCCCAGCTACTGGTAGGTTGAGATGGAAGGATCACTTGAGCCCAGGAAGTTGAGGCTGTGGTGGGCTGTGATTGCACCACTGCACTCCATCCTAGTGGACAGAAGGATACCCGAACTCAAAAAAAGGAAAAGCAATAATTTACCTAACTGTTCCCTTACTAATTGACATATGACCACAGACTTTTGCAATTATAAATAATGCTGCAATAAACTTCCTTTTCCAAATATCTGTGTACACAACTATAGATATGCATAGATCAATCTACAATATGTAAATATATTGTATTGATATAATAAAATATATAATAATATAATTTTTATTTTGTTCTGTTAGTATTAGTATTAAGTCAGGGTCTTACTCTGTCACCCAGGCTAGAGTGCAGTGGCACAATCACAATTTACTATAGCCTCAGCCTCCAGAGCTTCGGCAATCCTTCTACATTAGCCTCCCAAGTAGCTAGGAAAACAGGTGTGCACCACCATGCCCAGCTAATTTTTTTTTTCTTTTTTTGGAGAGACAAGGTCTTGCTTTGTTGTCCACTGGTCTTGAACTCTTGGGCTCAAGCAATCCTCCCATTATCAGCCTCCCAAAATGCTAGGAGTACAGGCTTGAGCCACCACAACTGGTCTGGAAATATAATATACATAAAGTGTTTATAAGATAAATTCCTAGAAAGAAAATGTTGAAGACTAAATGCGTTCTTTCTTTAAAATATATAAATATTGCTCTATTTATATTTTTGTGTTTTAAATCTTTGTCTGTGTCGTAGTTCAAAATAATATATAATTTACTTTTGAAGATGAATATCTTATATAAAAAGTAAAGTTTAAAGGGCCAGTCCATTATTAGTTCCTGCTTGAATTTTTACACTGTTCTTATCACCACCCTCCCAAACCTGTGTCTCTCTGTGCTCTGTGTATCCTACACACTGACCCTGAATCCATCCGTCTTCCCAGAACAAAGCTCTAACCACAGGTGACAGTACTGTTAAATGAAAAGAGTTTTAAACTTGTAACAGATAAATTTTTGCTAGGTAGGCAATGAGCACTGTCTTTCTTTGATCAAATGCCTCCCACTGACTTCTAGCTTCTTTGGGCCTCAATTCTCCAACACATACAACAAAAATCTTTGGGGGCTTTGTTTTGAGAAATCTGGTTGTGTCCTACTTTTCTCATCTTACTCCATTCTAAGTTCCCTCACATTTTGTCTACTGTAGACTGAGGGGCTATTTGTATTTCTTCCCTCCCAGATCTTCAAGTGTCCTCTTCCCCCTACCTGGAATACTCTTCCTTCCTCATTTGATTATCCCAGTGCCATCTCTTGTGTCACTTTGTCAGGGAAGATTTCAACAAGCAATATAGCTTTGGAAAATTCTGCGTAACTCAATTTTGTAGCTCATGTCAATGGACACTGTTGGATTGTTTAATGTCTGTATTCTTCATTAGTCTATAAGCCTCATGAGGATGAAGAAGATGCCTCCTTTGACTTTTTTTTTTATCCTCAGTAACTATTCCCATGCTCAGGACAGAGTAGATACTCAGTAAATGGCTTTGAGTGAATGAATGAATGAATGAATGAATGGAATACTTAGTCTAATGCCTTATATTTAGTGATTTAACAACAAGCTTCTCTCTTTGAACTTCATAATAATTTAAGATGTGGTCTCATTTTAGCATTTTAGACCTCACCTACATTCACCAATTCTACACCCAGAGTGCATGACTCTGATCTTCCGACATGTTCTAATTGCTCCTCCTTTGTGGCCTTTGCGTGTGGTGTTTTTTTTCTCTTTCTCTGCTTGGTTGAACTTGTATATGTTTTCAAGGTCTATTTTAAACACACTCTTCTTCAGGGAATTGATTCTGACCATCTCTTAAATGCGTTATTTCTCTCTTTACAAAATGTTCTTAGGGCATTTTCTTTCTCACTTCCTGTTTTAGTTATTTATGAGATTTTGTTTTCATAATATTACTCTTGTCCTTCTGCTCCAGTGTTGTTGTAAAACTCTACTAATACCCTTCTAATTACCTCATAAATCCCTTTTGTACCTCTTTTACACATTTTCTAAATATGTAATACATTGGTAAGTTGTGGCTTCATGTTTATTTTTAAATAGATTGTACAAGGTTCATAAAAGATTTACTGCAAATAGCTCTGGTGACTAATGGGTTATAGAGCTCTCTACTTACAGGTAGTGTGAGGTTTCAATTTTGGATGTAAAATTAGTATAATCCACTCCATAACTATGGCCATTCTTTTGGCATCGGATTTATTTGTGCATTGAATATTATTGTACATTGTCATTTATGGTAATAATGTCAATAATAGTTCTTAAGCATAGTAATAAAAACCAACTGCATATAAAAGTTTCTTCCAAAACATGATCTTAAATACACTAATATCTGAAGTACACTGATAACACACAATGTTATGTTATTTCCTTTTTCAGAAGATTTATACTGTAGATTTTGAGATTTCTTGGAACATTAACTTCAAATACTTTGTCAGAGAATAATAGGAAGAAAATATTAATATCTAGATTCTGAAGTTGAGATAAGTGCTAAATCGCTTATGGGTATTGATAATTTAGATTTTAGTGAAGAGTAAATTCCTTTTCTGAAATTCTTTATTCTGATTATAAAAATAATACATGCCCATTGTAAACCCTCTGGGAAATTTTAAAAAACATTATTTATTTATTCATTTTAAATAAAAGAAGCTCTTAAATTTTATCTTGCCCCGAATTTTCTAAAAAAATTAAAGGTTAAGGAGAATAATCACAAGCAATAGTTATAAATATTCTCCTATAAAACCTGCAATTCCAATGCTCAGAAATAACCACTAATAAAATTCTAGTTTAATTTTTGCAATAAGTTGTGTCTGCATATACACAAGTTTTTGCCCAACAGAATAGATATGACATAGAATGTTATATGTCATTTTTTGTAGTTCACATTATAGATTAATCATTTTCATATCATAAGTATTTTTAGTGATTTAATCATATTTATCTTAATAGACCCAAACTTTTCAGAAATATCTTAAATTGAACTACGTTCTGAGATAATATCAGCATTGTCTTTCTTTTCCTGTTGTACTTGCCATCCACCTACCTTTTTCATCCTCTTCAAACTTTATCGATATCTCTCTAAATTTGCTAATGACAAATTGCATTTCACTCTATATTTTCTGTGCTTCATATAATCCCATGCTTTTAACAATGCATAGTTACACCAGTACAGGCCTTTTTTGGCCACTTTTATTATATTAGAATTCAATAATTTTTAACATTTGAATTTTTTTAAAACAATACCTTGTAGAAACCAAACTAAGTATATTTTTAATTGCTCTATAATTCATTTTTTGGATGTATTGTCATTTTTTAAGCCAGTTTCCTATTGCTGTGTATTTAGGTTGCCTCCAAGAATGAACAAACATTTTGACAGTACTTTTGATTGTTTCCTTTGAATACATTAATAAAAGCGGTATCTCTAGGCCAAGAGTATGAATATTTGATTGTGTTTAATTTTATGAATATAATAATTACAATAATTAAGTATATATGACTAAAACACTTTTAATGCAAAACATTGATCCCCTGTCCTATCCTTCTATACAATCTGTTCTCTTTGGGCAGCTATTTTAACTCTTTAAGCCATTTATTCTTGCCTCATCTGCATAATGTACAGATATTGCTATTTGGAATTTATTAATTTTAAGTATCATAAATAATACCTCTTAGGTAATTTAGATCACTTATCTCTCCTCTATCATCTTAACACCATTCTATCAGGTTTTCACTTAACAAAAATCAGTGTTAACATTGTTATGATGATGTAAGTATCATGCACTACAGTATCAAATATATTTTTTTCTCAGATATGATCTATTTTTGGAAAAAATTGCTTTTTCTGAAGTTAATATAATAACCTTTGTACTTTAATGGTTACCTTGAATATTTTTTCTATTAATGTTATAGGCCTGTCACTTTTTCCTTTATGTTCATATATAAAATAATCTGAGTTTCATCACTTTTATGCACACTTTATTCCTAACATCTCCATAATTTTGTTTTAATTTGGATCAAACAATATCATTTTTATCTTACTTTCACCCTCGCTTTCTTTCACCACTTTTTTTGGAGGGGGGGAAAGTCCTAAGTGATCTTTAATCTTGGTTTATTTCCTTATTTTGCTGAAGCACATCCTCCAAAAGTTTTCTTTAAAAGAGTAAATTAAAGGAAATTTTTTTTGTGTTTCATATCTAAAAATGTTCTTATTTGCCTCCACACTTAACTAGTAGTTGGAGTAGTAATGCACGGCCTCGTATTTCTTTTTAAATATATTATATCTGGCAAATAATTAGTTTACAACAAATAGCTCTGAAGACTAACAAGTTACAGGACTCTTAACTTATGGGGAGTCTTAAGCCTAATTGTGGATGGAAAAATCTAAATGATCCACTGGACAAATATGCAAATTCTGTTTGAATTGGGATTTTTTATGCGTTAAATATTAGAATTCTAGGTTTAAAAATAAATCATTTTTCACCAGGAGTTTGAAGCCATTGTCCCATTATCTATCATCTTTTTTTTCTCTTGAGTGGTTGATGATATTCTGCATATCTTCTCCTTTTCTCTCAAAGAGCTTTTAGAACATTGTCATTATTTCCAGAGATCTTATATTTTGTGGCATGTTTGATTTTTCTTCCATTATTTTGTTGGTTGAGCTTTTCAAATATAGAAATGTATACATTTAATTTTTTGAATTATTTTTATTAAAAAATATTGTTTAAAAATTTGTGCTCTATCTCCCTGTATAATTATTCTGGAAATGTTAGTTGGATATAGATCTTCATGGATTGATTCTTCAGAGAAAAGTGATTAATCTTTTCTTGTTTATTTTCTAGTTTTTTTATTGCCTTCTAGAGAATTTTCTTCACTTTCTATCCTCTCTAATGTAATTTTCATTTCATATTTTTCATAACTAAGGGCTATTTCTTGTTGGTTTTTAATTCTTTATTTCAGATGTGATAATTATTTAAATGTGTTTATTTTGTTATTTTTCATATGTTATCTCTGCCTCACCCCACACCAGCTTCTTTTTTCTATTTTTTCTGTCTTACAATGGAGATTTCCCTCAATAATACGTGATTTCTGGAATTACACATTTGAGTTAGGAATTAATAAGCTCTATGTCCATGGGTATGATAGGGTTCCCAATGGACTGGTCAGGAATCCAATTGGTCATTCTATTAGAGAATCTCTATGTTGATATCCAAGATCTATTTTCCAAGAGGGTTTAGATTTTACAGAAAAACTTTTTTGCCTGGGATGACATACCCCTGGTTCCCAGCATTTTGTTAGAAGTTAAAGATTCCAAGAGTGTCTTACCATTTCATCTTCTAATATACTGACTTTTAATCATTCCCTACCAGCTCCAGCCCGAGGTTTAACACAACATCTCTTTTCGACTTTTTACTGTTTGAGTGTTCACAATATCAGAAACTATGCCTTACACTTTCAGTAGAAGGTCATCATTCCATTTTCTACCTGGAAGAAACAGGAGGAGAACTTGCATTTTGCCATCTCATATATAATATGTCAGCCAATCTTCTTGCATTTAGCCCTGTCCCTCTGTGATTCCTGGTGCTCCCAAATAATGAGAAGCAAAAAACCATATCTTCTATGGTATTACCCATCAAAGAGGCCCCAGTTGTAGCTTTTTCTGTTCTGCACATGTAGTTATTTCCATCCCCTCTTCATCCATAAATACTATTGCAACAATTTTTCCATGTATTAATATCCTTTTATTCTTTGATTTTCCCTTGTTGTCTTATTATTTATATGCTGCTTTCATTCATAAACATAGATGTAAATGTTTCACATTCAGCATGGAGTTCTGTTTATTTTAATAAATAATTTAAGAACTTTATAAGCATATTGCTTTCCAGAGATAATACATGCCCCCAGTAGTGAATGAAGAGTGCTCATTTCTCCAGTCCCAAGCCAACACTCACAAAACAAATATTTGAACCAATACAAGAAGTGAATTTGGTTTCTTGGTCTAATTTACATTTCTACTCTTTTGCTGTATGTACATATGTATTTCTAGCTTTTTGGACATTTATATTTTTCCTTTTATCTTTTGATGTTTAATGTCCTTTATTTCTTCAAGATACTTTGACTTATTTCTTATTGATTTACAAAATCTCTTTATATATTAAAATATGAATCTTTTATCATACTTTTTTTAATTGATGATTTACTTTTTGAGAAAGAATGACTTGCTTTCCTTTTGCTTGACTCCTAGCATGCATATGATTAAGCAATGGTCTTTATTATTAATACACCTTTTCATATTCCTTTCCACAGGCAGATCCTTGCAGCAGCTAAAAGAGCTGACCAAGTAGGCCATTTTCTTTGGGTGGGATCAGACAGCTGGGGATCCAAAATAAACCCACTGCACCAGCATGAAGAGATCGCAGAAGGAGCCATCACCATCCAGCCCAAGCGAGCAACTGTGGAAGGTATGGGTTTTGTCAGCAGTGTGATATGCTAAGAGAGTGACTGGTGCTATGGTAGGTGGTCAAATCATGTATCCCTTTGAATATCCCTTTGGCAGTTTTACAAAATGTGTGTAGGGTAGCTTCAAACTTGGAGCCATTAGATGCAAAGGAAGGCACACACCTGGTCTGTTCTTTTAGTTGATACTCCTCTTTTGAAGAGATCACATTAGTTTTATAATATCACAATTAACATTGTTTTCATTCATGCCACAGGAGCTTTCTGAGGGGAGAGTGTTACCATGAATAAAAAGTGAAATAATAGCACACTCCAGTCTGTTTAAGTCAGCTACGTTTTTCTAAAGACTACTTTCCCTTTGTTGCATATCCATTACTTTCTTAGCAGAATAGCTAGAAGGGTCCGTTCCCCCTATTACCTCTGGAGGCCCTTTCCAGCCCAGGGGGACTGTAATGATACAAACATATTTCCTCCTTCAGGCACCAGCATCACCTCACCTCCTTAGGATGTTTTGCTCTTTCTCTCTTTCTGTTGCCTTCCTAAACTTATGCCCCTATCTTTTACTTTGCCTTCCTTGTCACAACAAAAACATTTTTGGGGAGGCAGAAGTGGAAGAAGGTTTCCGGTACCTCCCAATCTAATGCAACTTGTTGATTACAATGCATGCCCTGCTTTAATTTGAAAAGAAAAGTTATTTCTAAAAGAAGACACTGTGTAAGAAAAAGGAACTCCTCTGCTGATATCCTCTTTTGTGCTCCTTTTCTGAAGGCCAAGTCTCCAAAGATTCCCTAAAACATGCTTTGCACATTAAAAAGAACTCTATACTCTCACTCAAAAAAGAATCAAATATTTGCATTTCTTCCTATTCTCTCTTCACTCCGATCTAATTAGTTATTCTCCCTAGAAGGCTGCATGGTCTATGTAGGCCTTTTTAAACAAATCAGGTTGTGGTTCTGTCACTGTTTCCTTTCTGTTATCTAGAGGAGATAAGGATCCCATGAGTCACTCATGTTTTCATTGGGAGGTTTTGAATTAATTCCATTCCTTAATACACGTCTGGAAAAGATTACCTATCTTGCACTTCAGACCAGTGCATTTGCAGAATGAGTTACAAGAAGAAAGAACAACATTTTAACTATCTCCACTCCCTTTAACTCAGTGTATATCTGCTGTGTGCCTCACTCCGGGTTAACAGTCAGAATAACAAAAGACTGAGACTAAAAATTCTTGCCCTCAAAGCATACAGAGCTGGATGAAGGTGTCAGAAAATAGCCCATGACTATTTCACATAGAAAACTTGGTAAGAGCAGTAAAGGGTAGGGCATTAAAAAAAAAATACAATGAAAGTTTCCCCAGGCAGGTGTGGTTCCAGAAGGCATCCTTAGACGTAGGAAGTGATGACACTGAGAGCTCATCAGCTGAGGAGGAGAAAACACCTTGGGAGATGGGAACAATGAGATGGCAGGTCACATTGGGGGAAATACAAGTAGTTCATTCAACAGCACAGCCCTAGATGTCAACCATCTTGAAATTCTTCTACTTCAAGAATATTCCTATCTACACGATGTTGGGAAACCCCTTTTTTTTCTTTTGGAGTACTAATCATTACTATAGTGCTTGGTTGATTGGATCCTATTTATCCTCTGGGTCTTGGCTTGGATATTAACTTTGCTTGAAAACAATCTGTGGCCATCCCACTCCAACCAAGTCTGGATTAAGAGCACTTTCTACTGCTGTGGCACCCCCATATCCCCTACCATTGTAGCTACTTCTTTACTTTTCTCTATCTAGAAATGTATTGTGCTCCATTGCACCCCCAATATTTAGATTTTTGCTGAAAATCATAGGTGCTCAATTGTTTTTAAGTTACTGTGTAGTGGCCAAAAGTTCAATCCGAGAGATCACCAAGAGCCAATTCCGATGAAAGTTCAAGAGGGTCTTTATTTGCAAGCTCAAGCCTGGATCTCTGTCGACAACCGACACAGCGGAGTACACCCAGAGACCCTGACTTCCTTAAGCAGACACTTTTATGTTTTTACACAAAAGGAGGAGGAGTTTGGGGGAACTTTCCAGTCTTGTTACCATTTAATTGGGTAGTAACCTCTGGTGGTCAGCTCAGTCGTGGAGGATTGGCTAGCTTGACTCGGGCTGAGCTTGGCCCACTAGCTGGGGAAGTTGCAGAGACATTTGGAAACTTTAGGTGATTTTCCCCTGGCACCTGATTGATTGTTGCCAAGGGGAAAGTGGGTCAAGGGAAGGGGTTGAAACTTGAACTGGAGCTTTGCAGTTTTTCCCATAACTGAAACTTTAAACAGCTACAGGTTATATTTTAAAGCAGAAAACTAAAATGGCTGTGCTATTGTCCACAAACTGATTACATATTTATTGGGTTATAGCATGCTCTTAACCTAAGTTTATGGTATACCCTATTACGGTTCTCTCAACTGTAAGTGTGGATGAATGGAGGAATTACAGACCACATAAGGACATGGCAAAAAATAGTTTTGAAAGTTTGCCAGAGTTGCTTTACAAAGGATCTTGAAAACTACACAAATGAGTTTGTACGTTGTTCTGAAAGTCTGGAGAGTATTTGAGTATGTGAGATGGGATAGGATTGGGGTTAGCCAGCTCACTCAGGTGACTCTAAGGAGAGGTGAAAGGCAAGAGCTGGGTGAGAATCAAGGCAAATAAACAAATTTCAGGGTCTTAACTGAGGTCCTGTCTTGCTAAGCTATAGTTGCAGCATAGACATGATGCCCATACTCCATTGTTATAATTGCCAGTACATGATATTTTAAGAATTTACTAGTTATTGCACAATTTTTTGTTAATTCTTGAAAGAAAATACTATTTTGGGGTACATATAAGGGAGTACAGGAAAATTAGACCCAAAACAGCATCATTAGCTAGCAAAAAGAAAATAATGACCCCAAAAAATAAAATGGGGGAGAAATGTTATTGATAAAAAAAAATACTGAGATGTGATAGAACATCAATAGTTTACAAAAAGCTTTCCATTCCTGCCCAGAGAAAGGTAAAGATTTTCTTGTGACCATCTAAAAAATGCCATGTCTTCTATCTAGCCATATTGTCTAGATGCATTGTTACAAAAAGTAGCCAAGATTTGTTTATTTTCATAGCAGATGGAACATTAAGATTGTGGCTAGCCGGGCTTGGTGGCTCAGCCTGTAATCCCGTGCCTTTGGGAGGCTGAGGTGAGTGGATTGCCTGAGCCCGCGGGTTCAAGACCCGCCTGGACAGCGAGACCTCATCTCTACAATAAAGAAAAAAATCAGCTGGGCGTGGTAGCACATGCCGGTAATTCCGGCTACTCGGAAGGCTGAGGCGGAAGGATCAGGTCGAGACTGCGGTGGCTGGGAGCGGCCACTGCACTCCAGTCTGGGCGACAGAGTGAGACTCCAACTCAAAACAACAACAAAAAAGATTATAGCTATGCATTTACAGTGTCATGCCTAAGAAAGTTAAAAAAAAGCCAGGCTCAGTGGCTCAGCCTGTAATCCCGTGCCTTTGGGAGGCTGAGGTGGGTGGATTGCCTGAACCCACAGGTTCGAGACCCGCCTGGGCAGCGAGACATCATCTCTACAATAAATCAAAAAAAAAAATCAGCCGGGCATGGTAGCGCACGCCTGTCATTCTGGCTATTCGGAAGACTGAGGCGGAAGGATCGCCAGACCTCAGCAGGTCGAGGCTGGGTGACCGGGACCGCCACTGCACTCCAGTCTGGGTGACAAAGTGAGACTCCAACTCAAAAAAAAAAAAAAAGAAAGAAAGAAAAAGAAAGAAAGAAAAGAAAAATAAATGCATTCATTTGTACTAAGGCTTCTGAACAAAGCTATGAAATATTCTAAAATAAAATTATAAATGGAGCATATTCTATATGAGCAAATATGTTCTCCTATCCTGTCTAGAAATGTTTGATTGTTTCTTTGTTTCTTTTTTATTTTTATTTTTCCCTGTTCGGTGAATATTTTGTATTAGATTGTGCTGGACAAGAACTCCTTTAAATATCCATAATACTGCTACATCCCTTTGTCTTTGACTGCATTGTTTAATACTATATCCTCAGATGTAAATAGGAAAAAGTCAGTCAATAATCCACATTTTTTCCCTTTAAATCCACATTGTGAGTATGTTCAACAAACATCTGGATTTTTCACTAGTGTTTTCTGAATATGCATATACAAAATAATAAATTGTTTTAGGCCAAAGGGCTTCAAAGTTCATTGTCTCTGTGAAAGTAGCTTTATCTTCTCTCTGTATTTGTCCTGTCAATAAAATACGTAGCCTCAGTATCTCTTAGCCAACCATACAGTTCCCCCTGCCTTCCAATTTAAGATGATAGGGGCCAAGCACTGGGAAGGCGGGCTGTGGTCTCACTGGCTACCTGGTACTCATAGGAGATCTAGAGAATGTCTCTAGAACTTGGCAGCACTCCTCCAGCTCCTGAGTCAAAACACTTCTATAATTTTTATTTTCTCTGCATTGATGAACCAAGGAATCCCTGGCGTTTTCCTCACTTGTGTGTTTCCCCATTAACTAGGACTTTCAGTAATCCCCTCCACCCCTCAGGAAGTCATCAGAACACAAAGTTCCCAAGTCACCTTCAATTCTTTGCCCTCCAAAAATGCTCTGCTTCTCTGAGAGTAGGCCGTCCTAAGCATCCTCTAATTACAGCCAACAAGGGTCATGGACCAGCATCTTTTCATCCTGCCATAATCATTAACATTAGGAAGCTAGTGTAATAAAGAGTGCATTTTCAAAGATAAGTATAATGACTCATAATTGGTGATGATTTTCAAATGGGTCTATAGAACAGCTTGGTTTGTGAATAAAACTTGCAATATGTGGGACTAGGCAAAACATACTCTGGGCTCAGCATTAAAAAGCCAGCTTTTTAAAAAAGGATTTTATAACTTTTACTCACAGTTGAATGAAATTTTTATTTTTACTAAAACTAGAAAGATCAAAGCTGTGAAGAACTAAA